CACACACACACACACACACACACACACACTTATACTCTCTCTCACACACACACACACACACGTGCTGCTCCTCTTATGCGGAGTCTAAACTGACCTTGATGGTAAATCTGAACATTTCTATTCTCACAGAAACAAACTCCAACCAATCCGACGCTCTATCACCTGGTGAGGGACGTCAAACAGGTAAAGCTGCTGGACTGAAGCTTGAGTGTCCGACGCCAGACTGCAGTCCGTCTGAGTTTTATTCCCTTGTGTTTTTTGCTAGGGTAACCTCCCGCCCAACTATAAGATCACGCTGATCGACGTGGGGCTGGTGATCGAGTATCTGATGGGAGGAACGTACAGGTGCAACTACACACGCAAACGCTTCCGCATCATCTACAACAACCTGCACGGGAACAGCCGGGTAAACCAGCGCTAACAGTGTTTATATCAGCCGAAACATGTACTAAAATATGTACTAAAATATTTACTTGAAGTTTTATGTTAATATTTCAATCATTTAACAACACATTTGCATGTTCACGGTTCTCTGGTGCCAGTTAATGGTCACATGACATGCAGATAAAAAACAAATTTTATTTTATTTTATTATTTTTTACTATTTTTAATATCTTTTCAGTGTTTATTTTTAAAAAAATTTCTGCATTTTAATTTTCATTATTATTATTGTTTAATTATTAGTCATATCAGAATGAAAGATCTAATGCTTTGTCTCTCTGTGTCTGTCTGTCCATCCATCTGTCTGTTGTTCTGTCTATCTATATGTCTGTCTGTTGTTCTGTCTGTGTGTCTGTTGTTCTGTCTGTCTGTTGTTCTGTCTGTGTGTCTGTTGTTCTGTCTGTCTGTCCATCTGTCTGTTGTTCTGTCCATCTATCTGTCTGTTGTTCTGTCTGTCTTTCTGTTGTTCTATCTGTCTCTCCATCTGTCTGTCTTGCTGTCCGTCTGTCGTTCTGTCCATCTATCTGTTGTTCTGTCTGTGTGTCTGTTGTTTTGTCTGTGTGTCTGTCTGTCTGTCTTTCTGTCCATCTGTTGTCCTGTCTGTCTGTTCTGTCCATCTATCTGTCTGTCTGTTGTTCTGTCTCCGTGTATGTTGTTCTGTCCGTCTGTCTGTCTGTCTGTTGTTCTGTCCATTTATCTGTCTGTCTGTCCGTCTGTTGTTCTGTCTGTGTGTCTGTTGTTCTGTCCATCTATCTGTCTGTCTGTCTGTCTGTGTGTCTGTTGGTCTGTCTGTCTGTCCATCTATCTGTCTGTGTGCTGTTCTGTCAATCCATCCATCCATCCATCCTTCTGTGTATTCTTCTGTCCATCCATCATCCATCTTTCTGTGTATTGTTCTGTCCATCCATCCATCCATCTTTCTATGTATTGTTCTGTCCATCCATCCATCCATCCATCCAACTTTCTATGTATTGTTCTGTCTATCCATCCATCCACCCATCCTTCCATCCATCCATCTTTCTATGTATTGTTCTGTCTATCCATCCATCCATCCATCCATCCATTGTTCTGTTGTTCCATCCATCCATTTCTGTCCATCTATCTGTCTGTCTGTCCGTCTTTTGTTCTGTCTGTGTGTCTGTTGTTCTGTCCATCTATCTGTCTGTCTGTCTGTCTGTCCGTCTGTTGTTCTGTCTGTCCGTCTTTTGTTCTGTCTGTCTGTCCGTCTGTTGTTCTGTCTGTGTGTCTGTTGTTCTGTCTGTCTGTCCATCTGTCTGTTGTTCTGTCCATCTATCTGTCTGTTGTTCTGTCTGTCTTTCTGTTGTTCTATCTATCTCTCCATCTGTCTGTCTTGCTGTCCGTCTGTCGTTCTGTCCATCTATCTGTTGTTCTGTCTGTGTGTCTGTTGTTTTGTCTGTGTGTCTGTCTGTCTGTCTTTCTGTCCATCTGTTGTCCTGTCTGTCTGTTCTGTCCATCTATCTGTCTGTCTGTTGTTCTGTCTCCGTGTATGTTGTTCTGTCCGTCTGTCTGTCTGTCTGTTGTTCTGTCCATTTATCTGTCTGTCTGTCCGTCTGTTGTTCTGTCTGTGTGTCTGTTGTTCTGTCTGTCTGTCCATCTGTCTGTTGTTCTGTCCATCTATCCGTCTGTGTGTCCATCTGTTGTTCTGCCTGTCCGTCTGTTGTTCTGTCCATCTATCCGTCTGTGTGTCCATCTGTTGTTTTGTCTGTCCGTCTGTTGTTCTGTCTGTGTGTCTGTTGTTCTGTCTGTCTGTCCATCTATCTGTCTGTCCGTCTGTTGTTCTGTCTGTGTGTCTGTTGTTCTGTCTGTCTGTCCATCTATCTGTCTGTCCGTCTGTTGTTCTGTCTGTGTGTCTGTTGTTCTGTCTGTCTGTCCATCTGTTGTTCTGTCCATCTATCTGTCTGTCTGTCCGTCTTTTGTTCTGTCTGTCTGTCCGTCTGTTGTTCTGTCTGTTTGTCTGTTGTTCTGTCTGTCTGTTCTGTCCATCCGTCTGTCTGTTGTTCTGTCTATCTGTCTGTTGTTCTATCCATCTATCCGTCTGTGTGTCCATCTGTTGTT